TATTTTATCTAGATGACATATGACGTCCACAATCTTTGTACCAGGTAAGTTACCATACAACCTAGATAACTGTCACCAACCTATATTTCTGTTGCTAATGATGAAATTGCCCGAACCAAAAGTCCTTTGTTCCCACCCACCCCCACCAAAAGATTCCTTCTCTTGAAAAGATGTGTTTCATCACCCAAGGATTGGGTCTCTACTCCAGGCACATCACATCATCTGCAAACTTATGTCCTCCTTTCCCAAGACTTTTTCTCCCTGACAGCAAGAAAGCTATCATACTGGGAGTGGAAAGAAACTATCACACCCTGAGAGTCTTGCTTATATACCTCTCTGCCTCTTCAAGCATCTCCAGCTTAACCACTTTGGTTTCAAAGGAATATATTTTCTGAAAACTTGGAGTTCTTTGCATTGAATATAAATCCACAATTTATGCCCAACAGGCAGAAAGCTGTATGTTTGACACACTATACAATCAACTGGCATACACTCCTGCTGGCTTTCTGCTTCATATTGTTTTCTCCTTTAGGAACCGCTTGATCTAAAAGATTGCCACTATGTTAATTTCCCTAATCCTGGATTACTCACACAATTCCATTGCGGTTAGTATGGGAGGTTAGTATGCACCTTCCCTGTCCTCGCAAAACTTATTTGTTCCCGTTTTTTCTCCTGTTCACTTTCTTTGGTCATGAACTCCCAAACAATCTCTCCTCTTTATAACAGGACTGTCTGAGGTCTAAAAGCATGAAGTATTTTTGACTCAACAGTTACACAGCTGTCTGCACAATTATGAACTGTGACCATATTAATGTGGTTACATCTTCACTTAAGATCTTGTGCCCCCAACATGATAGAAAGGTTGGAGTGTAAGTCCTTGTGGCCCCTCCTCACATCTTTCCTGAATGCCTGATAAGGGCTGATAATGTTACTTTCTTGTGTACTTTTGTTACTACAACATTATGTTTTATTTTTAGGGGATGTCATGCTTTATTGTGACTGGGGTAGTTCCAGACAGAGGGAGTTGCTCTATCTACTTTAATGAACTTTTTAGTGAAAAGTTGTGGGAAAACATGTGAGAGTTATAGATGGAAGAAATTGTGAACCAAGCAGGGCACCTGATTAAGTAATAAAGTTTCAACTGAAAGCACCTTATTGAAAGGAGGCATACAGGTAAAGGGCCTGTGTTTGGCTGAAGTTCAAGACTGAGGGCCTTTCCCCACTACCATGTTAGTGCTATGATTTTCACAGCAAGGGAAGAACAGCCTAAAGTAGGCAGGTATGGTAGAAATGCACTTGCAAACATAGGAAAGGATGATAAGAGGTGTTAGCCATCTGATTCTTTTTATCCTAAAACTTTAACATAAATAAAAATCAAGTGTTTGTGTGTATAGTAAAAGCCCAATGAACAGTTGCTACAGAACAGAGCATCTGTCAAGCTTTTGATAACTGAACATACCCAAAAGTTTCACAGAAGTTTCCCTAACCAGATTTATTAAAATGGAAAAGAGATTAAGTAACATAACTCTTATCAGCTAAACATGTTCACTTTTAAAAACAATTGGTGCTTGATAGGGTAAAACTTCCTTCATTCCCTTGACAACAATCTTTTAATGAACAGGAGAGCTAGCTATTTGCCAGATAATGGAAGAATATGAAGATGTTCTGGACTTGCAGTGTTTTTCAAACTGCCCTTCTCATTCCCAGGCTCAGGGAAGACCATAACATCAACTGTTCTAAAGATTTCTGGAGGTATATCTGCTAGGAAGAAGAGAATGTTCTCTTCATTTGATTTAACTGAGGTAATTGGATAAAATGGGGATTAACTTGTGTGCCAGATTCTGCAGAATAGCACATCATCTAGCACAGAATAGATTCTGCAGAATAGCACTGTCTCAATTTTCTCCACTGGGCATGGGCATAAATATTCTTGCTTTAGAATGTCATTATATCTTCCTTATGTTAACATGTATCGCAGGACATTAAATTTAGCCACTCTCTGGCAAAGCAAACACAAAATATTAACTAGACAATTAGCTAGAGTGAAAAGTCCCCCAGACAAGCTACCACCATAAGAGATGGTAGTGATACTCAGATCATTCTGATTATCAATAACAAATACACATTGCTTTAATTCCATTTTTGGTCTCTCAAAGCTCAGTGAAAATGGATATTGGGCTAAGCATCCACAACATATTAAGTCAAATCCAATACTTTTCTTCCCAGACCATAGAAATGGTAAGGAAGCTATAAATGAAAATCAATTTTAGCCAGAATATCAGTCAATAGAGCCACATGTAAGCATCTCGAGAAGCTAGTCAGGATTCTAGGCACAACACTGGGTTGACAATGTTTCACGAAACTCTGATCATGGCTCTTAGAAATTCAGAGTACTCTCTTACAATCTAAGACCTTTTACAATTACAAATCTGTAACCAATATGACAGGTGGTTGATCACATTAGCCTTAAAAATATTTGTAACAGCAGGAACTTAATTACCACTAGCAAATGAAGAATAGCTTTAGCAATTTTGTAGGCCCCCATCAGAAATAGCTGTTATTTGTTTTCTTCAAACAACAGAAGATTAAAAAATTAACCCCAAATATATAAATCGTTTAATGTACTCTACATAGATGCCATTAATTTTCCAACAATGTGTATGACTTGCAAGCTTCTTAATAAAGAGAAACACTTCTGTTTCAGTGGTACTGATACTGAATCTTTCCTCTTTATATGGTATGAGGCAAGGGCTCAGAAGTTCCTCCTTAGAATTACTTGTGTTGTGGGCAGGATGACTTCAGAAATTGAAACAGATGAAATTTTAGGTGTGTCAAGATTTGGAGGAAATAATTGACATAAACATTGAAAAGAAGGAGGGAAAGGATGCAACCTTATTTAATTCCTTTTCTGGATAGAAATTGGGATATAAGGTATACTACATCTGACTTTCACTGAGGTATTTTCATATAACCTCAAAGCAATAATGGATGTGTCACAGAAGAAGCTGTAAGTTTTAGCCAAAGCAAATCTTTAGGAACTAAGTCAAAGGCTGCCTTTAACCCATTAAAAACAGCATAGGGCAATAGGGTATTTTTAACTAGATGCTGCAAAATAATGTGCTGATTTAGTGTTGACTGTTTCACTTTAAACTTAGCTTTTTCATCAACCAATGTATTATCTTGCATTAGCCAATCAACTGATTTCCAATACAGATGACTAGTCTACAACTTACTGATTACACTTAGAAAATGGTTTGGGCAGAATTTTGCCACCACAATTCTATCACCTCCTTATAAATTGGCACTGCAATTGATCAACTATGATCTGTCAGTGAGTGATTGATATGAATGCTAAAGATGCCAGTACAGGAGCCCAACAATCAAAATTTATCTTTAATCGTTCAGCCAGAACCAAGCCTCTCTCAGTTGTGTTATTGTTTTTCAATTGCAGAATAACTGTGGTGATCTCAGGCTAATCTGTTTCATTTATTTAATAAAACAGTATAGAGAAAAAAATAACATAAAAGAAAAAAGGTAACAAAGAGAAAAATACAATAACCTAAGTATAGAGATATTTCATAGATATATATATGAAATTTTATATAAATTTCAATAAAAGATTACCGTATTTGTCATCAATGATACATAATCTATGTCTATAGGCAATTATTCATACTTTGCAAGTAACATCACATCCTCAATCCACTGGGTAATTAGGCCATAAATTTGTCTTTCCAATGTTGAAGATTCAGTCCAATCTGGAATACATTCCGGACTTTACTTATGAGAGATCAAATCACTTACAACATCACGAAGTAAAACATAAAATTGTTCAACCTCTGATGGTATTGTTCTGTCCAACCCAAATAACTTTTTGAAAAGAGTGGGTTATAATATTGGTGTCCATGGGCAGGAAGGAAAATGTATGTTGTGATATAGCAGTGCAAACTCTGCAGCTTATGTACTTGTGTGTGAAAGAGTAGAACTTGCATTGTGATGTAACAAACCACATTTTATCATTTTGGTGTCACTATGAACAAATACTGATGGGCTATAACATGCCAGATTTGGTTATTTTCCATAACTGCCAGTTGGGCCTCCTGCTTTTTCCTTTTCAGCAAGACCTTATACTTTCATTTAAAAAAAAAAATCTGCGTAGGGAACAAGTATCTCGGTTGACCCTGTACACTTTGAGTAATTTGGTCTTGGCATCAACACATTTTCAACCAAACCAAAGCTCAGAATTAAGCTAGGTTCTGCTATTCTTAACCAGAACTTGGCCCACTAGTATCTCCTGATTTTTACTGATCCTTGCTTTCATCTTATTCTCAGCCCAGAAGTGAGACAGGCTTTTGTTCTTAACTCTACTGTTGTTAAAGCAGAATATCCCTTCCATATTCTAAGACTATCAAAGGGAAGCTTCAAGCAAGATCTGTTTAGGAATTGATCACCCGTCATTTTAGAGCAGTGTTTCTCAACTTGGCGACTTTAAGATGGGTGGACTTCAACTCCCAGAATCCCCCTGCCAGCAAGTGAGTGGAAGTGCGAAACGAGACAGTCGACAGTAACAGGAAAAAAGTTCGCGATCGGCCAGGACGGCAAATTTCAAGCGGATACAGTTTTCCGCCATTCAAGGACGGGCGGAGGACAGACGGGAAAGGCCCCTAAAGCGTTCTTCCGTTTCAGCCTTGCTTCCTCTTCTAGAGCGAACAAGTCCGCCCTCGGTCCACATTCCGCTCTTTCTTCACGGGACAATCCATCCTCTCTCTCGTAGGATCCGCGCCTAACGATTGGACCAATTATTTCCCCCGCCCCTAAATTCACTTTTCCTCTCGTGATTGGTCCCACCGACACTCGGAGCATCGTCCTCCGCTTCCGCCTCTGAGTCGCTGCCTCTCAGCAGCGAAAGAAGTTAAGCCCCCGCCCGCAAGCGCCTTCTCCTAGCGGGCGCGGCCATCGCGGCTCCGGGCCAAGGGCGCGCCGTCCCCGCCTCACATTGACGCTCTGGCCTATGATTGGCGAGCGCTTCTGGCTGAGTTTCCGGTGCGATAAAGCAGCCCAGGGACGGGCGGTGGTTGGTTTCTAGGTTGGTGCCGTCCGAGCCGGCAAAATGAAGCGCAGCGCCGAGAAGGTGGGCTGGCAACCTCGTGCTAACGGCTGCAGCCTCCCAGCGCACGGTTGCGACCGGAAAAACGGTTACGTACGAGGCTTCCCGGGGCCCGAATCCCACAGCCAGGTAAGGCGGTGGTCGGCGCATCGGTATGAAGGCGAGCCCGCCAAGGTGCCTGTTCGGGTGACCGAGGCCTGGTCGGTCTTTGCTCCCGGTCCAGAGGCCTTGGGCTGGGCTGTGCCGTACCTTGCCGGAGCTTTGCCGGAGCCGCTCGCTGTCAGTCACGCGGCGAGGAAAGGAAAGGAAAGGGTGGCCTTGAACAGTCGCTTTCTTCAGTGGCTGTTTTCTGCCCTCGTTTCCTGGTGCGGTCGAGGCGGCTTGGCGTCTCCTCGCTCTGACCCCAGCAAAGGAAAAACTTTCCTTTCCCGGTTTTTTCCTCGAAGGGTTCCTTAAATAACAAGGCTCAGCATGGCTTGGTTTCTCCCTTTCTTCTCTTGTGGGATAGGAGGGTTGTTCAGGAATGCTATACGGATTCAGTTTCGCTTTTTCATAAGGGTTGTTCTTCGGCACTTTGGCCTTGTTGGGATACCTTCATTGAGGTTTTCCAGGGCCGTTTATCATCTGCGGGAGAGGAGCCATCTGGAAGAGAAATTTTATCCTTTTTCAGCTTATTCGTCTATTGGTTAAATTGAACAGTTAACAGATCACTACCATGTGCAATTGTCTGGTTCTTCAAGTGCATTTCTAAATTAAGGGTTCCCTGAAAAGGATGGTGAAGACAGGAACTACAGTACTGCTGTCTTCTACTGTGGGAATGAGATACTGAAAAGTTGTTTAAAAGCTTGACAAAATACAGGGTTAGGCAGGACGGGATTCCTGCTGAGATACTAATGTTAGATACATCTTATTTGATTTGTAACATAGCTTCTAATGCCTACAACTCATATTGGCTGTTGTCATTACAGTTGGTCAAGATTAATTGAATTGTAGTTGGCTCTGTCTAGATTCTAGGTATACATGGCACACTGAATCATAAATTAACCACACAGGCTGGGTTTACATAATACACTAGGCTAAATGTGCTGCCATGGTTTGTGTCTCTCTGTGTGGTGCAAACATATATTGCCTTTTCAAAGGTTAACTATGGCAGTGTATGTCATGGGTATGCTGGGGATGTGGGTGCAGATGTTCAACTAGCAAAATTTGAATCTCTAGTATTGAGTGTATAGCTTATTTCTGGAAATCCTTCTAAAATATCAACTGTACCTTATTGTAAGCAGCATACTAGGATGTGCTAGCCTTTATTGAAAACTGTCTTGATTTGTGGTTAGCATGTCTTACTACTGTCTCCCATAATCCGAAGCTGTGGACATTTTGTAACTTGTACAAATGGACAGTACTCTTCTGTGCAAACTTATGATTTTGAAAAGGCAATATATGTTTGCACAACACAGAGAAACCAACCATGGCAGCGCATTTAGCTTAGTGTATTATGTAAACCAACCTCTGTGGTTAATTTATGTAGTCTTTTATTATGTTGTGGTGAGTTTTATTTAAGATTAATTAACAAATAATTTTAAGTTACATTTTGGCAAGATACTTTTTTTGTCTTTTCATAGTAGTGTATGATGATTATGGCTACAGGAAGCTACTTTTAGGCGCTTTCAATTATATTTAAATTTGAGTGTCACAAAGGATTTTTTAAAAAATATCTGAAACAGGAAAAAACTGCTAAAGCTGAACTGTAATATTTGTAATAATAGCTATTTTATAAATGGTTTCTCGCCACTTCTTTAATTTTTCACACACTTATGCAAGTTACAAAAAAGTTGGAAAGGATTTACTTATGAGGTAACATAGGGTCAGCTTAAAAAACAGTGTGCACTTGAAAGTTCTTTTGTCAATTACAGCGTAGGTTTTTACATGAACATTCATAGTCTTAGCTCTTGCATTTATTAACGGGAGAGTGATATTCTACCCTGTTATTCTTTTCCTCATTCTTTATCTCATTTAGTCTGTCCAGATGTTAAGACTCAAAAACTGAGTTTGCTCAAAACCTTAGCCAGAATTGTAAAGGATAATGTTAATCAAAATCATACCCTGTACTGAAATCAAACAGTCTTTTCCTCCTCTTTATTTTTAGTTGGGAAACCCTGCTAACACAACTAGCAAAAATTATTGGGCCCAGCCAAATGGAAGTTCTCATTCAGATTAGTTTGTAAAGCTTCCTAAATTTCCAGAGTGTTGAAACTTGCACACTCTTACAAAAAATAATACATTTTAAAGTTTGTCTGTGTTTCAGCCTAGTTGGGCTTTTTTCTTTTTCAGAGTAGGCATGGTAGCCTCCTTGGCAAGTCACTGGAGTAACTGAGTGAGGTTAGAAAGTATTATTATAAAATTTGCAGATAACACAAAAATATTATCATCTTAGGGGGCCATATCAAAATACAGGAAGATGTACAGACAGACTTGAACAAACAATCCATGAACTGCAGTGGCTCCCAATAGGCTTCCAGGTGCAATTCAAAGTGCTGGTTATCACCCATAAAATGTTTCATAGTATGGGGCCAGGACCACCTTTCTTCAATTGTTTCTGCGCAACTTACTGTATCTGAGAGGATTAAGCATATTCCAGTTCCCATCTATTAAACAGTGCTATCTGGCAAGATCCAGGAAGTGGGCCTTCTTTGTTGTAGTGCCTGCCTTGTGGAATACCATACCCCCTGAGATTTCTTTGGCCCCAACTCTGTTAGCATTTTGTAAATCCTTGATGACTTGGATGTTCCCCATGGGCCCTGTAGGTTAGATGAGCCCATCATTGTGGTTTTCTTTGGCACGACATGATTTACAGAGCTACCCAGAGTCACAACTGAAAGATGGGTGGTTATATAAATCAATATAATAAGTAATAAATAGGAAAATTGGTTTGATTGTGGCAAGTTATAGATGTAATAAAAACAAGGAAGTAGATTTTGGTTAGGTAAATTCCTAATAGAGCTGTGTAATGATTGAACAAACTCCTTTGGAAGGTGATAGATTCTCTTTTATGGAGGTATTTAAACAGAGGATGGATGGCCATCTGTCTGGGGTTGCTGTATAATGGATTCCAGTATTGGGAAAGAAGTTCAACAAATGATCTCCAAGGTCCATTCCAACCTTTTTCTTCTATCATTTAAGTGTGAGCACCAGAACTGTACATAGTGTTCAGAAAAACAGAATCATGATAAACACTGTAACTCCACTTTTCTATCGTTTGCATTTTGTTTACATTGTACAGTGAAAGAAGATGGGCAGTGTTGGAAGAAATTTGTTTTCTATCTCATCCAATCAAGTCTTCATGATGCAGATCAAATTAGTACACTTATCCAAGATCAAATTATTGATTATAGGCATTGAGTCAGTGTCAACTCTTAGCAATCACATAGTTAGACCTTCTCCAGGATGATTTATCCTCAACCTGACCTTTTAGGTCTTCCAGCAGTGCACCCATGGCTGCTGTATCAAGTCCATCCACCTTGCTGCTGTTTGTCCTCTTTTCTTTTATTCTACCTTTCCCAAATGGCTATTGTTCTGCTAACCTGGCATTCTTCCTCCATTCCATGAAAGACCATCGCCTAAATTAAATGATAATAAAAAGTCCCTCTGGCTGTTTTGCAGTTCTTATAAGAATTAAGCTTTAGTAAACTTAACCTAGAGCTACCAAATCTAAGGTGAAAAAATCCAACTATGAGATGTCATAGAGTTACCAAAGATTCTTCTGCCATCTATCAATCCTCCAGATTTTACAACCCAGAACTGGTAACCTGCTCTTATCCCAATGTTCTTTGCACATGTATTCCTAATTGGTTCTGGCAGCTGTTCAAATAAGGAGTTTCCAAAACATGGATCATGTTAATTAGGCCACCTGTCATCCTTTCAGAGCTATATTAACAGACCATTAAATAGACAACATCACTACAGTTGACTGCTCCCTGTTGGATTGACCTCTGCAGTTGCAGATTTCTTAACTATGCAGTTATTGTTTATCTCACTGACTTCTCCCTAGGAATCAGTGGCTCTCAGTTTAACTCTCATAAAAATGGTAAGTCTGTGCTCCAAAAGTCTACCATCCATGATAGATAAAAACTTGGTCATTCAAAGAGAAACCATGTCAAAGGCATGCTCTTTGAGATTTTATTATTATTTGCAATTCGTAAAGAAAATACAGGGAAAACAACTTACAACAACAACAAAAAAAACCCTAAGAACAATAAAGAAATTTTAAAAATATGCACACCCATCTATCAGATAATCTTATTAATTGTTACATTCTATTAAAACAAAAAGAAAGAAAACACAACAGAACATAGTGGCACAACCCCCAATAATTAACATATTTAATATAAATCACCTAAATATATCATGTATATATTTGAATGACAAAATATCCAAATATCCATAAAGATTGTCTGTTCTGGTAAAATATTGTAAAATCTATACCAAAGGGAATCATGTTGTACCATTTTTGATTAGCAGAAAAAGTAGCCTTCAGAAACTGGTTACACATTTCTTGAATCCTTAATAATAACTTTATTGCAAATTTTTAAAAAGAACAATTAAAAAAAACTAACAAAGGCTAATATTAGGAGAGTATAGAAAGAAAGAAAATTTAGAGATGAGATATAAAAGATTAAAAAGTGTGAAAGCCAAAAAGAGAAGAAAAGAATTGAAAAGAAAAAAAAAGAATTAACTTCTGACCCTTCTCACAACAGATATAAGTAACACTATACATCTAACTCTTACTCTAAGGTTAAAATATAACTTCCATTATTAATCCATATTATTTCTAATAATCAAATCCATACAACAAAATTTCATTTTTTTCTGTATCTCGCAAAAAGTCCAAAAAAGAAATGTTTCCAAGTAGTATTAAAATTACACAATCTCTTACCTTGAATCAAAACATTAATTCCGCCATCTCAGGTAATTCCATCAACTTCATCCATTCTTCCACCGTAGGTAGTTTTGTCCTTCCACCTCTTTGCATATAAGAGTCTTGCTGCTGTTATCATATATAAGAACAAAGTTCCATAGATTTTTTTACAACTGTTTATCCATCAAACCTAAAAAAAAATTATCTGGTTTTG